CTGCGCTGGCCGGGGCCCGCCGCATCACGCTCTGGGTGGTGGCGAGCAGCAGCAGCCGGTGCTCCCGCACCAGTCTCTGCAGGACCTGGGCGCACTGCGCCAGGGTGGCCTCCTGTGCGCGCGGGCTCTCCCCGCCGCTGGCGCGGTCCAGCCAGTAGAAGGCGGACAGGCTGTCCACCGCGAGCAGGCAGAGCGCCGGGCGGCTGCAGAGCACGGCCCCCAGCGAGTGCAGCGTGAGGAGGACCTGGGCGCTGCTGTGGCACTGCGCCACGAGCAGCCGCGCCAGGCAGCGCGTCACGGCCTCCTCGGAGCCCCCCGACAGCCGGCGCTCCAGGATGGCCACCAGGCGCAGCAGGTCGAAGCGGCAGTCGGTGTCGATGAAGAGGACGTCGGCCTCCAGGCCGCCGTCCGCCCGGGGCAGAATGCAGCGCGCCGCCACGTGGTAGAGCATTTCCGTCTTGCCCGTTCCTTCCGGACCGTGGAACTCAAGAATGTCACCTGCGTGAAATTCAGAGACGCCAGTGAAAACGCAGCAGGCCACGGACAGCCCTCAGCCACGGCCCAAGACGCGTTTGCTGGAACGTGAAGGAAAACCGGAACCCCGTCGCCACAGTGAACGCGCGCAAGCAGACAGACATGCGGCAAGCAGCCTGCTGCAGGCGGGCGGGAGGCGCCGGCCAGCTGGGGGCCCGAGGGAGCGGGCGGGACGCGGGGCACCCGGCTCTTATCTGGTCAGCCACGTGGAGAGCTGGCGGAAGCTCTGGAAGCTTCAGCGCAAGTGGCATGTGACGTCGGTGTCGCTGCAGCCGGACGAAGCCCCAAGAGGGCCACAGGCGCGTGCTGGGTGTTCGCTTGAGGGACGCTGTTGGCCCAGAGCCTCGGACCTGGGCCCTCCATGTCCGGCTGTCTGAAGCCTTTGCCCGTAGTGCCGGTGGCTCCGGGGAACCTCGCGACAGTGGCCGCCGCTCGTCAGGGCACAGCGCGGCGGCAGGGATGGCTGGGGGCCTGCTGTCGCCTGCAGGAGGCAGCGGAGCAGAGGGACACCTGTACTGGTGTCCCCTCCCGTGTCCACTGGGTGCCTGGGCACGTGTGTGAGGAAGAGGAGGCTCTGGGCCAACAGCGTCCCTCAAGCGAACGCCCAGCACGCGCCTGTGGCCCTCTTGGGGCTTCGTCCGGCTGCAGCGACACCGGCGTCACACGTCACTGGCGCTGAAGCTTCCAGAGCTCCCGCCAGCTCTCCCTCGCCGAGAGCTGCACGCCGCAGCCAACATGGCCGGCTCCAGAGCCAGCCCCGTTCTGCAGGGCTGTCCGCTCACTCACGCATGCTGGCCACTGACCTAGAGACACCGTGTTGACAATGGAGATCTGAGAGGTAAAAATCAGACTCTGGCCCTCCCTGGTGGCGCAAGCGCAGCCCTGTGAAGCCGTCGTGGCCACTGCTGACAAGTTCGATCCCCGGCCAGGGACCCCAGGGCTCAGCAGACCTCTCCGGCCTCTCGGCTGCTCCCTCGGCAGCAGACTTTGTCCATTTGCCTGCTCTGCTCCCCACGCTGTCTCTGGAAATCTCTCACCCCCTGCACCTCTGGCCTGCACTAAATATATCAAGTTGCTCAACAAATGTCGGAGAGGATGTGGAGAAAAAGGAACTCTCCTGCACTGCTGGTGGGAATGCAAACTAGTACAGCCACTATGGAAAACTGTGTGGAGATTCCTCAAACTGCTAAACATGGAGCTTCCCTACGGCCCAGCAATCCCACTCCTAGGTATCTACCCAAAAGACACAAAAACACTGATTCAAAAAGATACCGGCACCCCCATGTTTATTGCTGCTTTATTTACAATTGGAAAAACATGGAAGCAGCCCAAATGCCCAAAAGTAGATGACTGGATTAGAAAGATGTGGTACATATACACAATGGAATATTACTCAGCACCAAAAAAGAGAAACACATGTCTTTGGCAGCAACTTGGATGGAGCTGGAAAAGATCATGCTTAGTGAGATAAGCCAGAAAGAGAAAGAAACATACCGGATGGTGTCACTCATAGCAGGAGTATAATGGACCAGGTGGAAAATAACAAAAATAATGAACAGCCATAGACCAGAGAGCCATTTTGTGGGGATGGAGTGGGGGATGGGATCAGAAAGGGGGGGGAGGGAAATGCACGGGACTGTGGTGATGGCACACAGGTGACTTGGTGATAGGAATCCCACGGGGATTACAATTGAGATGGGAAAAAAATGTACAAAATGATGTAAAAATAAACTGCTATATAAAAAATAAATAAATAAATCAAGTTGCTGCCATACCATGTAGAAAGGTGTTGTAACTTCAGTCCATGTCCACTACAGTCACACGTACAACTTTTCTCCAAAGCGTACACTGAAGATTACCCTCCTCGCTTCTCCCCAAAGAGTCCCAGCCCAAGGGACCATTAACACATCAACACTTACTCAGGGTTGCTCGACAGTGACTAAACATACACTCAGCCCACCCCCATCTCGATGCCGGGTGCACCCTCTCCCACTATCTCAGTAAGCTGCCCAGGGGTCTTACTAAGATGTACCTGGTGGTGCAGGGGTTAACCTCAGTGCTCTCAGGCCATCACTGGACACCGCAGCACAAGTTCGATCCCCGCAGGGAGTGACCCCAGGGCGCAGCAGACCCTCCTGTCTCCCCGCTGCTCCCCTCAGCAGTGGGTTTCAGTGAATCCACCTGTCCCACTCCCCATTCTGTCTCTGGTGAATCATCTCATCTCACCCCCACATCTCTGGCCTGCACCCCAGCTCTTGTATGCATAAATACATTTCTTTTTTTAAGGAAAGGAACCTCACTCCTTTTTGGGTTTCTTACAGTCTGTTCAAAGGAGGCATTTATTAAGAGTTATTCATTTATGCATACAGAACTGGGGAACAGGGGTGGTGAGAGGATTCCCCAGAGTGCGGTGGCTGCGGACACTGCACAGTGCTGC